TCTGGATACAAATTTTTTGCGGACTTTAGCATAATTTCAAGAGACACATTTTTGTTAATTTTGAGAATTAAATAACTTCACAAAAAGCCTTAATACCACAAAATTATGAAGAGTGTTGCACGGAAAATACTTTAGTATGATATGTTACCGCTGATTCGTGCTATTTTCAAATTTTATGGTACCAAGGGGGTACCGGGTATCCATGCTGAATCACGCAGTTATGCTTGAAATAATTGCAAGTCACGCTGTTACGGTATTGGAATCTTAATTTCAAGACCACGCCCCCCTAGAAGTTCTCTGTTTTTTAATAACTATCTAATAATAGTAATTTCTTGTTGGCAGAACCATCGGCATTGGAATCTCTGAAAAATGGAGACATTTACCTGACCTGGTACCGGAAACCAAGACTTTCTCCTTGTAAAAACGAAAGCACTCCATTTTGAAATTCGCTTGCAGCGCCATGAGTAATGCTAATTTACAGGTCACGCGCTAATGTCTATTCACGCTTTCACGCATAATAAAATTTTTTCACGAATTCACACATTGAAAATACGCCGATCACTCAATCACGCCAAAATACCTGGTACCCCTACCAAAAGCTTATTTGGTCGAAATAGTAATCTTACAAAATACGAGTGACTTAAATAATGCTTGCTTACCCTAAGAGAAGATTAACAACTAAGTTGATTGAATATGAACAGCCAGTAAAAAAACTGTGTCTGTGCAGTGTAAATATAAAATACACTCTTTTTTTAAAATAACAAGTTTAGAAGAACATGAGCCTCAAAACTGGTCAAAAATTAAGAACAAATTAAAAACAAGCTGAGGCTGAGCTTCTGCAAATTGCAATTTTGAACAACATTTTTTCTCAAAATCGAGGATTTTTAGCGATGTGTGGTTGCTTTTTCAGTGAATATTCAAATTTGTCAGCAAATTAAGGCTGTCTCACTCACTTTGTTGGCAAATTAGGCCTGAACACCTCCTTAGAGCGAAAAAGCTAGCAGTAGCACTGCTTACACCCTCTTAATTTAGGAACAAATTAAGAACAATCCAGCCTCAGATTTTCGAAAAAATTAAGAACAGTCAGCCTGAACTTGAGTTTACTGGCTCTTATGAAAAGAAAGAGTGTAAGTTCTCAAGATTTGATAAGCTCTCGAAATTAACTATCGAAGGACGTTTGCTGGGGATTGGCCTACATAAATCGTCGGCCTATATAATTCAATTCTTTAACAAGCAAGCAAAAATACCTGCAAGGAAAGGATTAAATCTTTTAAACGTGAATTGTAAACTTGTTCTTTGTACGAGCAGTCTTTGAAAAACACGTGAGTACATTTACGAGTTGATACGTACGTTTTACATGTTTTGTTGATACAAGGCTATATTGCCTCTAGATATTTACTAAAGCCACAAACCATGCAAGACTGTCCTCCTGCATCAAGAACGACTACACTGCTCGGCCTGTTTTCTGCATTTTCCATCCCTCTACCTTGATTTCCGTTTTCCATTTCAACGATATGTTTCACATTTCGATGCAAGCAGATAGCGTGACAAAGTAGTGGCTTTGTTAAAATTGCATTATATAAAGGGACTAGCAAATCAGGGCAATCGATAATTTCTTTGAAAGCCGCAACATAGATCCCACATACCTTGGAGAAAAACGCAAACTGTCCTACCAATGTCAACAGTGTTGTTAATTTTCTTCATTATTAATTAACATTTATTAAGATTTAAATCAAATCTAAAAGAGTAGAATGGGAGAGGCACTTGACCGGGAAAGTGACAGGGGTGCGAGGCAAACGTTTTGGCACCCTGACACTGTCCCAAAAAATATGCAAAAATATTATAATAATGCCAAAAAATACCTGAGCTGAAAAAGAATGTCTAACGCACGTCGTTTGTGGGAGCAGATATTCGCAAGAATTTCTATCTTCTACGTCTACGTAGCCTGTCCTAAACATTTCCTTACTCTGATATCCTGGCCCAGAGATTTGATGCAGTTCAGGATACCCTGCCCTGTTCCCACAAGCGAATATTCACTGTTCCACGGCACATCCCATCAGGTCAAAAAGTGACGAGCGAAGGGCAGCTCAATCTTGTAAAATGTTGTTGGTGATTGGGTTCCTTCAATTTTTTTATTATGAGAAAAGGAGGATGTTGAAAAAGGTAGTTTCATAGGAGAATGAAAAAGTAAAGAAAAAAAAAGAATTCTAAATTGAATATGAGAAAATGAAAGAAATGTCAACAAGAATAATAAATTCTTTCTTAGCTTAACTTTAGTTTTAAGTAAGACTGATTTTCAGGGAATCATGTCATCAACTTTACAAATTGAAAACAAAAATGAGAACAAAATACTTCATTCTGTTTTTCTATCGACTGATAATCTAAGGGGTGCATGCTTGGCCTCGCGGGTGTGTTCAATCAAGTTTTAGCCCTAAACTTTACAAGTAAAACATCTATAAACAATACTTATAACAAAAAACTTATTCTAGCTTACATTTTAATCACAATCAGACTGTTTACACATAACTCCTAATCTTGCTTCTTCCTTAAAATTACTAATGTATTCCAATATATTATATTTCTTTATAATTATCTTTATAGTTTCTATATAATTACCAAAATTTCACTTAAATAATAGGCTGAAAGCATAAAAGCTTAAATCTCTAAATTTGGGTGAACATGACACAAAAATTTAAACCTAATGTGTGAAGTAGAGCAACATCTAAGCAAAGCCAGTACTAGATGTAGTTAATGATAAGTATCGGCGAAGAAACCAGTGTCAGATTTTTCGACCAAAACGTCTAGAAATGGTAAGGAATCATTTTTTCCTTTTCAGGCGTAAACTGGAGGGCTGGTGTGAGTCTTTACATGGCAGTGTGACCCTGGCTACGTAAAATCTCCAACCCAAAGATTTGGGGATATGATAAAACAAAATGTCTCTTCCAAAGTTGGTTTTAATTAGCTTGAGTGTGCATAGCTAGAAATTGTACCAACTTTAAATAAATGAAGAAAGAAAAAAGACAAAACGTCTTCTCAAGGAGAACAACCTCCTTCATCTTGTCGGTCTTGAAAGTCCAGTGGCGTTGCTACGGAGAGGGGGCGGCCATAGGCCCTCCAAAATTTTTCTTGGCATCCTGTTTGGCCCCAGATTTGTATAAAAGTTACAATTAATAATATTATGTTTTCTTCCATAGCTTTTCAATCATTTTTTGTTTTTTTTGGAGCAGCTCTCTTATATTTTGCTTAATACAATATTTATAAAATTTATTTAACAATTTTTAAGGATAGATTTGAAATCAATCTTTCTTCCCAAATTTCCGGACCGTTTATTTGCAGCTGAACGGAAATCGAAGCGATCAGGGATATTGCATTATCAACAGGGCCGTTGCTAGAGAATGTTCATTGGGGGAGGGGGGTGTTGAGAATTAGTGCTTGCCGACATAATGGGTATGCAATAGATATGGGAGCAGCGTTGGTAGCGCGCGGGGTCAAATAGGGAACATGGTCAAATAGGGAAATCGGGGTCATATAGGGAAATCGTTAATAACTCAAAACATTATACTGATATTTTAAAACAGTCCTCAGAATCGGATTCGGCACGCTTCAATCTACCTTTTAGATGCTTTTTCAATTCAGCTACGGCAAATTTAGCAGTATAAATCGCAATGTTTTGCTTCTACGTTAGCTTGAGACTTGAGGCTTGAGGCTCCACCGTAGCTACGGGAGCAAATAGACAAAACTCGTTAAAAAAGCATCGTTTCAATTCAAAATAAATAGCAAAAGGTAGAAATCGTAAAGAAAAATACACACTCTCTTCACATCAATCTAAATTTCAAACATCCTGCACCAAGGTTACAAGATTTCTTGAAGTAAATCAACTGGGTAATAAACGCGATCGGGGTCAAATAGGGAAATCTTCAAAAACAGCAAGGAAGAAACACGGAACAGGGACCTAATTTCAGCACGTAAAATCATCCAATCTTCTGTTAACACAATTTAGCTTGTTAGAAATCAAGGTGTATCACTAGATAGGCCCTTGTTTACAAAGAGCTCTCCTTCGCAGTTTCGGGGTCAAATAGGAATACAGTTTTTGGAGTTATTAACGAATTTCCCTATTTGACCCTGTTCCCTATTTGAAGCCGAGTGCTGCCAACATGATTGAGATATGGGGGGGGGGGGGGAGTTTTAAATGATTCAAATAATAATTGATAAAACTCGCGAATAATTGTCATCAAGATTTTTAGATTGCAGATAATTTCAGAAAGAAGGAAAGTATCTACCAACTGTAAATGTATAGTTTTAGGTTTTACTTTTCAACACTTAATTCTTTTATGTTTCAGTCTCTCCCAGCGTTATTATTGCAGTGTGGCTAGCAAACCAAAAGGTCCTGGTTCGGGGTGTTGCAGATAGAGTTTTTTGAGCCACACCCACTAATGATAACAAAGCCTAAAATACGCTCAGCCCTAATCAACTATTGAGGGGGTCAAAGTTTGCTACATAAAACGTCGGGAATCTTCGTTTAGCTAGTGGTGATACCTGGTTGTAGGGCTGTCCAAACCTTCGGATATTCCTATTCGGTTATTCGGCTTAAAATTTAACGAATATTTGGTTATTCGGCGGATATGGGTGTGACAGGGTGGTGGTGAAAAACTGCAATCTGAAAATTTCTTGTAATTCAACTAGCCTGTGAATATAGCTAATCAGTCATTACTATTCGATAATTCAGAACCATTCAGATTCTGCAACAACCAAGAGCTTCTTTTGTTGCCACCCAAGCCTCCTCAATTACTTCAAAGAGTCGCTCTTTTACTCTTATTGCAGAGGAACCAATAGCAGTTTGTGGGATGCACTTGCTTAAGTGTTTACAAGCTGAGGATGTCTACACTACACAGATTGGCTGCTGCTTCCTTTGATTGCTTTTGCAGACGGTCTCGGGAAGAGGTTTCCAGCACACACAGCCTTCTTTCTTTTTACAAAAGGGGAATGCTTTTGTGCAATCTTTTTGGCCTTTTCATCTTAATTTTCTTTCGATTAAATGGATTTACTAAAGCTCTGGTAGCAAGATCTATGAACAAAGTGCTCTCCTAGATTAACTGTTCGGATATTCCCCTAATCTTCTTTTCGTGATGATAGGATCCTAAGGGTTTTATTCCTGCATCTGTGCTTTTCATGATTCTATCATAGGTTTTTGATGTCAAGGGGGAGGGGGTGATGTTGAGTTCTTATTTACAAATTCCAAATGCCTATAGTAAATAAAACACATTTCTCATTTCTTTCTACCATATTTACATGATTCTTTCATATCCCGAGATAGATATGAAAGGGAAACGTCGTGTATGGGTTGTAATTAGCATCAACTAAGATATTTTCTGGTCTTTAAATTACATTCTTCAAGTAGAAATATTGATGAAAGTCTAACGAGAAGGATTGATTCTGAAGAACAGAACCTTACTTTAAGGGTTCCACAATCAAATCTTCCAATCAATGTTAGTTAATGTGAAATATAAACAGAGCTGTAAGAAAGAGTCTAGCAAAATCCCAAAACAACAAAGTAGATCAAGATTTCATGTGGCAGCACGTGGAAACACTTTCAAACGAATGAAGTCGACAAGCTACCCTTTTCTGTGAAACAGAGGATTATTCCGTCTGGATATTGCATATCATTAGGACCTTTTAAAATATATTATTACTACAAGAAACAAATACAGAAAGGCTTTTTGCATAATTCATGCACGTGATAACTGACTCGATAACAGCACAGTAAACAATAGACTTGTGTGTAAGCTTTCTAGCCAATAATCGGAAATGGCACAAATGATGAAAACAATTTGGTTTTTGCAGGTTATACACTTGTTTTAGCACTGTTTGTGCTCTAAAAACAAAGTATATCTTTATCCAAAGTCACCAGCCTAAAAAGACTTAAACCCCCTTTATCTTGGAAAAGCCCCACAAACGGCCTGATCAACACTCACATTCGAAATCTACACCAAAAGCTACCCTAGAAAAAATGGTTCCGGTAAGGTCTTCTTCTAGGTGGTAATGCCCCCACTCTTCCAGCCACTGGACTACTAAGGCCACTCTGTACACACAATGTCCTAGAATATAAAAATTTAAAGCCAACTCACTTATATATACGAAAATACGGATACCTTTCATGCTTGATCAATTTATAACAAAATACAGAAAAATTACCAAATTCTCATTGGACAAAAAACGGAAAATTTTCACATAGGCCAAAATTTGGTATTCAAACAATATACACTTCTAGGAAGAAAGAATCAACCATGCCTTGGCAAAAAGGGTCAATTTTCATATAATAGGGAATCCTCATTCATTCAAGTCCAGGGTTTTTGGACAAGATAAGTGTATAACGGTTTCGATAACCTTGAGCGTGCTAATAATCTTTAGTCATTTTTACTAAGATATCATGCATTGACTACATTTGAAGATCTCATCAATCGAGAATTGTTTGAAGAACACGTAGAATGCAAAGTTCGCTTCCCAAACCTCCTTTAGCTGTTTTCCTTCTTAAAACAATCCTGGTTACATTATGACACGCTTGTTAGCCTAGCGCAACACTGAACCAGCTTGCTAAAGGGAAACACATCAAGTAATAGATTATTTAATTTCCAAAGTAATAGAGAAAATAGTTTCCAAGTTTCCTAGATGATTTAGCTAAAGAGGTTCTTTTGTCGTTTTGCAGCTCTTCAGGATAAAGTTATATTTTTCATTGGTATGTTTCGAGATGAACTTTGATGGACAGCACATTCAATAAAAATTCTTCGTATGTTTTCATTTTCGTCAAAAAGTGTTCTAACGGAATTTTCTAAAAAGAGCGTAAAAAGCCCTTTATCAATTATGACCAAATCGCTCCAACAATGTTTTCCAAGACTTTGAGGTAAACGTCACCTGGTTAGAAACTATTAGCCCTGGTTAAAATGGTGTTGATAAGAATCTTTGAGTTCTATAAAATGGTGATATGAGCATTGATTTTCGTATGCAATGGTGGAATGAGCATTTATTTTATCATGCAATGGTGGTATGAGCATTGAAACGAGGAACCTTTTCCAACGTGTGTTGGAACTAATTGCTGAAAAACATCACCAAAATGTTAAGTTGCTGAAAAACATAACCTCTGCTTGGATCAAAAGAAAGCTGAGTTTTTGCTTACCTAGAACTGCAGTTATTTGCATTAGAGGTTCTAGGTCCCGACAACATGTTGTCCCTATTGGTGAAATGAGTGACTTTGACACTAGAAACAATTTATCTAACATCATTAATTAAAAACATTATGTTTGTTACTTAATTGTATGATCATTTCATTTTGTAAACCGGCAGCCTATCGGTATATAAACAGTGCTGAATTCACTTTCTTCATTCTACAAAAAAAACTTCCGTATGTACTTGAGTTCTATGAAAAAGAAAATTCAGTGTCCTGGCCAAAAACGAGAAAGATATGGGAAAAACCGAAGTAGGGAAAGCATCATATGATACGAAAATAGTGACGAAGAATGACAGAACAAACCTTAGACGTTCGTTTGTTATTGGGTCTTATTTTTCCATTCATCTAATCGCTTTATAAAGAATCTAAATTGTCATAGAAACAACTCTACTAGTTCCTAATGTAGGCAAGGATATATTAATCCATAGCATGGCCACGACTACTCTTGCAAGGAGGAGGGCAGCTGCCAGAAGACATGAATTGGGTAGCAAATGAATGTCGAGGGGAATTGTAACGGCAAATGGAATGGGAAAAAGAAGGGAAATTGATAAAAGAAGGCACAATTTAAAATAATTTTGACTGTTCCAAAAAAGTTTTCCATTATCATGAGTATAGTTTTCAATTTATTGCACTCCCTGAATAACTATTTGATACTTCTCAAAAAAGCATTACTTTGAATTTATAATTGACGATTAGCAGATTTCGGGAATGTAAGATGTTGCATTCCAAAGGGAAAGATGTGATGATAATGGGACATTACTTAGGTTTGATGGAACCATTTTTTTCTTTCATGTACAGGTTTTTTATTTCCAATAAAACTATTAAGTATTAAAAATGGTTTTAAAACCGGAAGCAAACATTTTACAACATACTAAAAACTTTACGTCTGACACTTCTCAGAGCATAAAACGTCAGAATCAGGGTCGAAAAGTTAACGCTGGCAAAAAAATACACAGTTGGGGATCTTTGTGACTCTGAGTCTGTCGTTTTACACTCTGAGTGAGTGTCGGCAAAAACGCCAAGTATTTTGTAAAATGTTTGTATTTTTCAAAGTCTTCATAATTTTGTACCACTAAAAATGTTTCACTAATAAAATTCTTAACAATGAAAAGAACCTTAAGAGAAAAAAGATGAAGTCTAATTATAAGATAAAGCGTTTCAAGTATAACAACTAAAAAAGTCTTTCCATTTTCTGTGCCTTTTTTGTCTCCACTTCTCACCATCTTTTTAGCATTACAAATTGTTTGATTTTGAATGTTATAGTACCATCGCCTTGCTAAGGAAACTAGAGAAATGGTTTGATAGAAAATTAAAACAACATCGCATGTGCTTGTAAAATGAACTGAAAAAATGGAGGCAATGTACAAAAATAGAAAGTAGAAAGGTTGATTGTGCGCACGAGACAAATTATGGAGATGTAGACAGGCCTTGAGAAGAAAAAAGAGCTACGATAGACGCTATCTAATGTAAATAGAGAGAGCCGATTGGTAAGGCGAAACGATTGGTAACAAAGAAAGAACGCTTAAAAAGTGTCTCTTCGAATAACACTTGGTTATAATAAAGAATATATGATACAAATACGAATCATAGGATAAAAGAAATAACATCACACAAAACAGTAGCAGAAATTTGCACTTATGATCAGATTTGAAATGATCTAGTTGTAAGACGTACAATGTTTGAAGCTGACTATTCCCATTCAGTTGTACCAGGAGGCTTCGAAGTCAAATCATACATAACTCTTGAGATACCAGGAACAGATTTCACTCTATCCACAATCTTCATAAGAAGCTGCAAGTAAAGAAAACAAGATTGATATTAATGGTATCATATTTCAACAGAACACTTAATGAAGACAACTTTCAACCATTTTATTCTACACACTGAATCGTATACATTTTTTCACATTTCTAGCGTTGAACTCGAAATCGTATCAAAGTTCTTCATTTCGCTGCCGGCGAACAAAGTTTGGTTTGAAATAACAAAATAATAATAAACGATTCATTTTAAGTTGGCAGAGACAATAGCGATAGGCTAATAAAGGCCAACTATACAAAGCGTACTTAAAAGTCTAATTACAAAAAACCAAAACGTTCTAAATTATAAATGTTCTAAATTGAAGATGCAAGTGTGACAGCACTTGATATAAATGCTTCAACATCACTCTCGTTATCAATGTATCTGACCGGGCCAACGTCTAGCCCCTTAGTTTCCTTTCACATACAATATACCACCACTTTAGTTCAAGCGACTTGATAAATTGTTTAGCTTTTTAAATAAGACTACGTCTTTTAACTGGAAGTCAGTGGGGCAGAAATTAAACTTGAAAGCAAAAAGAAGTAACATGTACATTTACAAGATTAATATGGGCCAATGTAATTTTAAATACACAAAATCAAAATTAACCAAAACTGAGCACTGGTTTCAGCAATGTCTCTTGTGAAGACGAAATTAATTAAACAGAAGCTTTGCCAGAATCCTACTAGATTGTATTCAAATTATTTCCAGATTCTCTTAAGATTACCCGGATAACAGCCAACAAATACAGCGTATATAACTTTCACACAGGCAAATGAATAAACGTATCATATTTCAAGAAGCCAAATTTGTTAATATATTCACAAGCAACTTAAGCCTATATTAAAGCCTGTTTTAAACATGAACATACCCAGGTTTAACACAAGGGTGCTTTACCATCATATTTTAATTGTAACTGGATAGATGATAAGTAGTCCTATTTCAAACGTTAGCTAGCAGAGGCCTAGAATAATCAAACGTAGACTTGGTGAAGACAGACCGACATGTAAGATTTTTTTGTCATTTTTGAAAAATTAATTAGATTAAACAAAGGGAAGAATGCTAAAAATTGTCGGAGTGATTTTAACAGACATGGACAAGATCAAAATAAGCCGTGACACCCACATATTTGATCCCACTTTATAATGTCGCCTTAAATAGAAAAAAAATTCAAGTTTGTACAAGAAGCAAGAAAAAACTCCCTTTACCTCTTCAGGTATCTGCTTGCCGGGTGTTGCTGCTATGCCAGTCATGAAATCATTTGTAATAAACGTTCTGATGACTATAGATCGCTGGCACGAAGGCAGCCTCATAATGGGGTCACGGTCAAAGTGTAATGGAACAAGAATTATTGGCATTTGGCTGACACAACTCATCTTGTCTAGAAAAGATGCAAATGGCTTTGAAATGAATAATAAAAAAGGCACACGAAAAGTTCAAAGAGAAAAGAAATCGAGGAGAGAGGAGCAGCACGATTCCTTCGAGAAAAACGTAGTAAAGCTGTATTTTTAAAACAAAATCAAATTTACAAACAATATCCTTGTGTTGGAAAATATATGCAAAAAGTCCCTTCAAATTCCGGCTTGAACATAATGGCAATACAAGCTCGGACACTTACTGCTCTCCAGTAAAGCGGTATTTGCTAGATAATCTGCTTGGCGTAGCGTGGCCAGAACGTTCGGCACCAGAAAAGTTGGAGTAACGTCTTGCAGTTGATGAGCTATTCTTGGTCCAAAGACGTAAACAATTCTGCAAAATCAAAGAATCAAATTCATTTAAACTCGTTAAAATATAAGGGAAAAACTTCGGCTTCAATTGCACAAAAATTAGAAAAATTCGAGATTCAAACTGTAATAAAAATACGAGCGTGCGGTAAAATTCACATTTTCGTCAATAAAACCTGACATATATCAGTTTGAAAAACTTCGAATATATTTAAAAAAGACTTCACAGTAATAATGCTTATTCATGTCATTAAAAACCTTTTTGCACAGAACAGTAGCTAAATTTGGGCTGCCTAAAAAAGTATACTTGAATCAATTCAGTTACGACAAAGAAAGGACTAGAGACATAAATTGCTTTTACAAAAATTACTTGCCTGTTAATGTTATGACACAGTTTTGGGATTATTTTTGCAAATACCATAAGTGATGACCATGACGGCTGTGAGTCACTTGAGATTGCAGCAACATAACTGTACGTGCGACAATCACCCTTTGAACAAGAAAACAAGCAACAAAGCTAATTTCTTTAATTGGCTTATTGCAATTTTAAAACAATACCAGGAAGTTTTATCTACTACAAAAAAAGATAAAAAGAGAAAACAAATTTTTTTCTGCGGCACCTTTTTTTCTCAATCAGCATACTTCATTTCGCAGTTCTCATGCTTACAGTATGTTGCTACTGTCATTTCAACATTGGTAGAATGGGAGAGAGGACGCCCTATTCATGGTTACTTACGTCAAACATAGTAAATGATTTGTGTAAAAGTTTGAAAAATATTCTTAGTAGCCCAAATTTGGAAGATGACCATATGATAACTTTGATCATCACAATTACAACAATGTCAATATATCACAGGAAGTTTTTATTCATTCAAGCACCCAAACAATTCATTTAAAGCCCTGACCGAACCAATGCAGCATCTTTTCCAACAAATAAAAAAATTTGATATTTTGGACACTGTTGGACGTAAAAGGGTTCAAGGCAGCGCAGCATTTTCACCAATCATTTGCTAAAGGGAAGTTGTCGATTTGCCAGCAATAAAAATCATCGCACCTTACTTCATTCACTAAAACTGCTGGAAAAACCATTGCGGGTAGAATACAAACAAACCGAAAAGCGAAACAGTAATTCTTAGACCTGTTCAAAATGGTTGATGAATAAGAAGAGTGGAACGAAAAAAGAGCATGATGCGGCAAGACAATGCGATGGAGAGGTGAAGATGAAAGAGGGTTTTAAGAATAGATGAAGGATTAGGGAAATAAAGCTGATATTCCTGTTACTGTTTTTCATGAGTCACAGCTTCTCTTAACAGATCAAATGAGACGAGCTCTTTCTAACTGCACTTGTGCAAACATGGATTTATTGGACAGGGCGACCAAACGGTTCCAACATCCCCCTAAATCACTCAGCATTTTTATCAAAGTCAACCTTCCGTAAAACATCGTACAACAACGTACAACATCGTACATCTTGGTAAAAACATCCTACAGTAACGTACAATATTTTGCAACATCGTACCACTTCATACAGTAACATCCAACGTTTTCCAGTTAAGCGCAACATGGGTTGCCAAACCAGTGCATCATTTAACTCCATCTTTGTCGCACTTTGTTGGGCAGAAAGCTGCACAGCGTTTGGCCAGGGCTTGAGATTTACTTAAAAACCAGGTTTTCATTCAGTATTCCTTGAGAGATATTGTAAAAAGCCCTGCTTGTGCAGGTTTCCTCAACAGACATCTTAAGTAATTTCCCCGCTTTATTTTCTCTATTTTTTTATTTTTTTATTTGGTAATCCTAGGGAAAGCTTAAAGAAGGGATAGGGAGGAGGGATAAAGAGGAAGGATTAGGAAGGATAAGATAAAGCTTGTTTATTTGTTTTGAATAACGACAGGTCGTGAGGTTCTAAGACCAATGTTTAAAATTCCCACCTGAACTCCGACGGACTTTATAGGGAGCAGCGTCGCTCCAACAGAATACGATGAGCTTATTTCTTTCAATCTTTGCAGCTCCGCTTCGGAGAGTTGCTCTTGAATCTTTGCAAGTAAGGGATGACGCTGAAAGTCGAACAAGAATTCGATAACATAACGCTAGATAAGAGCAAAAGCAGTTTGTTATATCAGTTTGTTATATTAATTAACTGAACAGGGCTTGCAGTAAGAGACAAAGATGGTTTTCTTTACATTCAACAAAAATACAGCAAAGCCAAGCCTAAGGTAGACGATGTTACGAATAGACAAGTATTCGTGTATCCACAGTATGTAGGCAGAGAATCTTTATAGGGCCAACAAAACTATGAATCAGACGATGGATTAAAGTTGCCTTAGGTTCTGGAATCCGAGACAAAATGAAAAGGCTCGTTGTTAAAATCATTTCAAAAATAAATCTTTTTATCGTGAAAGGACATGGCAACTTAAGTACGAATTATAGGAAAAGATTAAATATTGATAAAGAAAATAATAAAATATAAGTTCACCTTTAGCTTTTCATACCTTGTTTACGGCGTTTGAATAATCTACTATAAAACCAAGCTTTGTGTTCGTCTCCGCGAAATCGTTACATATAAATGGTTCATCAGCACACAAAATGCGAATTGCCAATCCAGGGCCTAGTGGGTAACAAGATAATATTATGAAACGCTTTGGATCGTTACTTCAACATTAATTCCGAAAATGCGCATACTCGTTTCGAGAGATTGATGACACGACATAACAGGGTAAGAAACAACAACACCAAGTCTATTTCTTTCACCCTTCTTCTCCCAATTTTTTTGCGAAACTGAGCAATCGTATTGAGCAAGTTCAGAAACCCTATTTGCAACCCCACCAAGCATATTCAATTCGAAAACCGGATTAGGATCCCCAGCGAGCACTCAAATCTAGCAATCCGACTCCCGTTTAGCAATCCGACTCCCGTTTAGCAACCCTATTCAGCAACCCCTTCCTGAACCCTATTTATAAACCCTTTTCAGCAGCATAATTGAGCCACATCATACTGCAGCATCATTTAGCAATAATTCCAATTAGCGAACCTATTTAAAACCCCTTACGGAAATCTCATCTAGCAACACAATTTAGCAACCCCAGTTAGAACGTTCCACTAATCCATGGTATCCCAGCTAGCAACCAATTTGGCAACCCCACATTTTCATGCCATATATCACCTCCAGCCCTCAAACCCATCTCTTTCCATCTGCAGTGGAATAATGTAAAATAATTAAAGAAAAAAATCTGGAAGTAACGAACCGGGAAAAGGGTGTCTCTGGACGATCTCTGCAGGTAATCCTAAGTTTTTGCCGAGAGTGCGGACTTCATCTTTATGGAAATCTTTTAAAGGCTCTACAACACGTCCCTGAAACAAGCAACAACATGATTATTGGTTGCTTTAAAACTGGAGTGACATGAAGTCGACGATTTCTCGTAAACAAAATTGTGAATCTGTTTCAGTCTATTTAATTAAAATGTATGCCACCTTGTATTTATTAGTTTTCTTTAAAAACTATTAACTTAAGGCAAATAAATAAATATCTTAACAAGTCACGTCTGACGGCACACTGATAAATAGTTCTTGAAATACAACACAAATATTTCATGTAAATGAAAATAAATGTTTTACTCCCCTGTCAAACAATGCTCAACGCCCTATAAGCAGAGCCATATTGGCCTTGGTGAAGAGAACAGAACGGCTCAAAGTAGCAATTCGAGAGTTTCGAGCTTAATGCGATGATCAGGCAAATTTCTTATAACGTTATTGCACGGCAAAAGTAAAGAAAAAACACAATAAAATGAATCTATAAACTTATTCCTACCTGTTTACGCAGCTCTCGAACCAGTTCAGAATCATTATGATGAGTTTTAATTGCATCAGCCTTTCCGCTGGCTAAGATCGAAGCACTTTCAATAAGGTCCGGGCGAAGAGAGCCTGCAAAAACACTTGTCCATTAAGCATATTGTAATTGAAGAAGAAACAGAAAAACTGGCATTAAATTTGATACTGCCTTACTATCGAGCCGAAATAATTATTAGGCAATTGTGCCTATAGTTTCTAGGCCAATAGACTAGCGTTGATGAACACGAGCACACATGGGCTGAAACTCGTTGAAATTCCAGATCCGTTGATGATTTAACTCTTTGGTGAAGGGACTGGCGACATTCAATAGGTTTAGCGTGAAATGCTATCGCAATTAGTGTAAAAATCTTATTTTGGCAACAATGTTTGCTTGCGTAATATTCCTAAGTTCATCTGTTGCAAAATAAAACTTTTTCTTCCATTTCTGCCTTTAGTTATCTTCAAGCTTCTTTTGAGAAGCAGATTAACCTTCGAGCCATAGGCACCAAATCTTTTACAACTTATTAAATAAGCCGAAATGGAGCTGGGCTTTTTTGCGAACACTAGAATCGTCATAGCGATCACTATCATCGTCATAGCGATCACTATCATCGTCATTGCAATCACTATCATCATCATTGCGACCACTATCATCATCATTGCGACCACTATCATCGTCATAGCGATCACTATCATCGTCATTGCGACCACTATCATCGTCATTGCGACCACTATCATCGTCATAGCGATCACTATCATCGTCATTGCGATCACTATCATCGTCATAGCGATCACTATCATCGTCATTGCGATCACTATCATCGTCATAGCGATCACTATCATCGTCATTGCAATCACTATCATCGTCATAGCGATCACTATCATCGTCATTGCAATCACTATCATCGTCATTGCGACCACTATCATCGTCATTGCAACCACTATCATCATCATAGCGATCACTATCATCGTCATTGCAATCACTATCGTCGTCATTGCGATCACTATCATCGTCATTGCAATCACTATCATTGTCATCGTGATCACTATCATCGTCACTGCGTTCACTATCATCGTCATTGCGATCACTATCATCGTCATAGCTATCACTATCATCGTCATAGCGATCACTATCATCGTCATAGCGATCACTATCTTCGTCATTGCAATCACTATCATCGTCATAGCGATCACTATCATCGTCATTGCAACCACTATCATTGTCATTGGATCACTATCATTGTCATTGCGACCACTATCATCGTCATTGCGATCACTATCATCGTCATAGCGATCACTATCATCATCATAGCGATCACTATCATCGTCATTGCAATCGCTATCATTGTCATTGCGATCATTATCATCGTCATTGCGATCACTATCATTGTCATTGCGACCACTATCATCGTCATTGCAACCACTATCATCGTCATAGCGATCATTATCATCGTCATTGCGATCACTATCATCGTCATTGCAACCACTATCATCGTCATTGCGATCATTATCATCGTCATTGCGACCACTATCATTGTCATTGCGATCACTATCATCGTCATAGCGATCACTATCATCGTCATAGCGATCACTATCATCGTTATTGCGATCACTATCATCATCATAGCGATCACTATCATCGTCATTGCGACCACTATCATCGTCATAGCGATCACTATCATTGTCATTGCGATTATTATCATCGTCACTATCAAATTACCTTGGGCCAGCAAAGTGCTCTTGGGATCCAAGTTAAGATCTTTCATTGTGGCATCAACGACCTAAATAAGGAAGGCGGTCAGTTCAAATCCACGACGTAAAAGTAAAATACACAATCGATATTAAATGATGATGATAATGCAGAAGACGGGATGCAGTGAAAATTCTAAACAAAAAGAAATACACGAAAACAAAAACGAACCTTAACGAACATGTCCCCAATGATTTTTCGTTTCTCTTCCGGATTTGAAACGCTGTGAAGTGGCCCAGTATTTTGGCGAATGTTTATATCATTGCGTTTGAGAGTTATTTCTGTTGATCCATTATAGAACGTATGCTGTGCATTTACAACTTTGAAAGCAAAAAATATTCGTATCAATGAAGACATCTTTTTATAATCCAATCCAAATAGTAGAGATATGTGGACCATAAATTACAAATCTTTATCGTTGTGAAGCATGAAAAGTAACCAATAATCTTATACCATGAAGGGTTCTAACTAACAACCAAGACACGAAAGGAATATCATTGACAGGGTTACTTTATACAGTGACTAATCATTTAAACTATTAATGGAACAGAAGATCCGTATCCTCACATCATACAAATTGGTTATATAATAAAATGAAAGATTTTCAAAGACGGTGGCACTAACCTTTCGGCTTTAGCCCTATTCTAGTTAGCGACTCCTCGACTTGTGTACTTTCATCTTTTCTTAGAAATCCATTGTCAATGTGAACAGCAACAACACGATCAGCTCCGATTGCCTTGTGAAGCAATGCTGCACAAACAGTTGAGTCAACTCCACCGCTGAGCAAAGCCTTTTGTTTAAGAAAAGAATCATTTTCAATGTTACTTATAGAAAATAGAAGCAAATTCTTTGAAGGACATGAAACATACTTTGAAAAGGATTGATTTCTCATTATCTTGACCATTTAGCGATTCTAAATCTTTGTTTTTTAAAAAAAACTAAGCCTAGTATTGAAATATACCAAGAAGCTGAGTCACCAACATGACCATACTTTCAATAAGAGTGAAGACAGGCTCATAAATACAATTATGACTCACAAGGACTTTGTTGACTGGGCCGATTTCTTTCTTGAGTTCCTCTATGCACCCGTCTTCCCTGCTCGTGATCGTAAACTCTGGGCAGCATCCAGCGACCTTACAAAAAAGCAGTAAAAATGCTAAAATCTAATATCTTTTTACTTCTTTAGGTATACATGCAAAAAGGTGGCAGAGTACATGGTATGATAAAATGGCTCAGTAGAAGATGCAGAGAGAATTCCTTGTATAGGGAAACCTTACGTTTCTACTCAATGATCAATGGCAAAGCTTTGCTATCGATTACTAACAACTTTTGAAATGTCAAATACCTTTATATTATAGCTAAGTTGATAGCGTATGGCCATATCTCGCTCACCTTGAATAAGAAATTTCGCATCATATCAACCCCATTTTCAGTTAGATCAACTTCGGGATGAAATTGCACTCCATAAAGCTTCTTCGAGTGATTTTCAATAGCTAAAGATGATAACAGCCTGATCATAATAAAACACAGACAAAATTGTTGAAAAAGAAAATCCACTAATATCTTTCAAGTCAAATAAATGCTTCATACGGGCACAATCTATGGGTCTGGTCATAAAAGCAACAAGAATAACACAAAGCAAGGTAAAGAATCTATGATAAGACCAATTTTAAAACCAATTCAAAGGTCTCAGGATCGAGTAGAATTTCCGCGTAGCAGGCACCTGTTGGACCAAAGTTTGGACAAAAGTATTTATCGGTCATTTAAATCGCTGCTGATATACATCCATTCATAGACGCTTGACAGCTGCATTGAATGTGAAAAAACTTATCGACAACATATACGGCTAACATATTACTTTGATTACTCTATATGAAAAGCAAAAAGACAAGCAAAAATGTACCTGCGATAATATTTCCACATTTTGCAGTTACTTTGAAATCAGGTGCAACCCTTGTTGCATGATCAAAATGTGTCAATAAAACGTCTTGCTCCTCATTTAATCCACTGAAAAAATTAACATTATCATATACAAATTAACATTATCATATACATACATGATATATGCATGCATCACCATTTTTATCAAACGCGTGATAATATAAATGCATAAATTATCATAATAATAAATGCAGATATACACGTGTGTGAAAGTTGTTTAGGAAAAGGAGTACTCGATCACAACTACTTACACGACGTTTCATTTAATATAATGAACACATCCTTCGCTTGCACTTTATAGTTGGTGCTGCAGTTACTATTTCACCTTATGTGTAAATTGGAACGAGAGGTAGGAAATCTGTTCCTTTTCTGACGTTTATAAATAAAGGCAATGCAATGAAAAGACTTTTTATTCGTTTTAATGTTTCCATATCATTCACATGTCAAAAGCAGAAAATCTATCAAAAGTTTTGGCTATAAAATCATAGATACTCATAAAGAAAAAAAGTTATTTCTAAGGGAGGAGCAAATAAGTAAGCAGTACAAAAACACATTAATTCTGATACTTTGATTAAAAATAGGCGAAAACAATGAACAGCGAACATTTGATTAATGTATCTAACTGCTCACAGTAATGCTCAAAATGGATACTTGCTACTCTTTCTAAAGGCTGTTACAATTTTTGGCCTACAAAGGAACCTTAAATAATATCATTACTTACCAATTACAATGTCAGTATCCTCTCAACTATTTCCTATAATCCAATATCGCATTTGTCTTTTTAAACGAAAACATTCAGTAAATGTGATGAGAAAAATTACAGCGAGAAAATAATCACCTAAATAAGTCAGAATTCTTGTCGACTTTGATTTTAAACTGTCCGTCTTCTCTCACTTTACCTTGCTCCACGATTCCACCAGAGGAAACATTCATTGCCTACAAAACATGAACAATCCCAACGAATAACACATGAAACATAGTCAATAGAAGGACCACAGTCCACAGTCCATAGTCAATAGGAGGAATAGTGTTTTTTCTCTTGGACTGAGCTTGAAATAATGGCTAAATACAAACTTTCAGCATTTTGTCAAACACTTTTCAGGGTACAAAATGTCAGACTATTGTCTGAGAACTTTAAGCTAGGGAATATATATAAATGAAATAGGCTGATTATTACTCGTTCGAAGGATGAAACGCGTTACGCAAAAGTAATAAATTGCCTTATGTCAATGTCTTTCCAAAACATTTCTCTTTATATATTTCCAGTTATGGATCGAAAACGCGAGCACATGACTGTAAACCTTGACAAACCAGTTCAGCTTGCCTATTGAAAATATGGAGTCAAAGGGTGAAAACTAACTCTATCTGTCTACACAAAAGCGATTTTTTTAACTTTTATGAAAATAGATTTGAAAACTGCTAAATGGAATACACTCGGGCTTTATCAATTATCAGAAACATGTTGTAGACAATGGCGTCACACAATTTAGGGCAACTTAGTTCGCTAAGCAAGGGCCCTCGACCAAGAGAGACCCCCAAATTATTTGTATGTCCTTATTCTCAAGACTTCGCTAAAGTTGGCCTCATTTTAAAACGCTTTATGGTTCTTTATCTGAAGCTTCTTCAAATTAACAAGAAAAATTATTATTTTCTAATCTTGCTATTGTGTATGGAACTTTCTTGCAGTCCGTTCATAGGGACCCCAACTCAGTTTTCTATAGGGCCCCGGGTTGTCGAATTGGAATTATTCACAAGCACCTTGAACATCCAGCACTTGACCATGAATGTGATGTGGTGTACGGTAAACTTTTCTACCACCTGACTCTGCCCATGACGCAGGTCGCTAGATAGTAAAAAACTCCCCATTTTTGTAAAAATCCTTTTTTCAAAGAGCTACCACACTCCAACATAGCAACGGTCCTAAGTGTGTATATTTTTATTTGATTGTATTTAAATAACCAAATGACCATTCCATGTGAAATTATATAAATCGTTGGATATTAAATCAACACAGTTTCAAACAAAATTGTGAGTATATATGAAAATTGGTCATAACTCCCAGAATCTCTTTTAATAGACCTAATAAAGGCAGTGGAATCATTTTTGAACACAACTTATTATGTCCTTTGAAATGAGCGAACGTCCAGCGTTAAAGTTTTGAGAGTCGCCAAAAGACATTCCAGGAAGATACTATAACTAGAAAGGGTAGTTACTACGGAATAAATAAAGGAAAATCAAATTTATATTGTGATTAGCAACCTGCATTCCGTAACATATTCCAAGTACCGGAACTCCAATGTTGAAAATTTCATCATCCCATTTTGGTGCCGCAGGATCAAAGACACTTCCTGGTCCACCTGATATGACAATGGCCCTAGAAATTGTATTTAATTTATGCACTTTTCAACACATGAAGAAGGAAACAAGAAATTAACAGACAAGATAATCCAATACTGGTTGCATAGGCAAAAAGGTTTCCAATGATTTACACCTTTTGTCTGATTTGTCATTGACACCGATATATTGAAAGGTATGAAGTAAACCTGGTGACATTTTAAAAACTTCAGTAAGATGACAGATTATGGTATTTAAGACCAAATGTCTGAGCGTTTTATAAAAACAATGTTATTAGTTGGGTTGAGATTCAGTTAAAACAAAGCAATACAGATAACAAAATTGTTCTAATATACACTTGCTTTAATTATCATGGATTTCTTGTGTATCAATTCGTTAGAAATATTGTTTTTTTCCTCTATGGTCTATGACTCTAGGGCCATACACAAAAACTCAACAGCATGACATATATGCAGTAGCGTAGCAAGGAGAGCAAGGGGGGTGGCTGCTAAGAGACTTGAAAACTAGTTTCTGAAATGGTTGTAGAGAATTCTGCAGATTTTGCTCCTAGGAGAACAGACTTATTTTGAAACTTTTGAACACTGTATGATATATACAGACATTTACTTACAACTTTGGAAAATTGGTTTTTACACATAGGGTTTCCAAGCCTAACATAATTTAGAATATAAACGTGATAGAAATTGTTAAGAAAATAGACAGTTGAAGACTTGTTTATCGTGGCAATGGTTGGCTAATCAAACACAGTAATCATCATATTTAGCTTGTTGTCGCTTACCTCAGTCGAGCACTTCCACGCAATCACAAAATTGGGCGTTTCCCAAATTCTTAAGGGTGTGGTCAGCAAAAATGTTTATCAGGGTAAACCTCTGCACCTTCTGCTGTCTCTCAAATCTTCCAACCCTGGCTACACTACTGCATATATGACAAGAATCTTGATCTAGATTAAAACTTCCAAAATAGGAAGATTTATAGGATTAAGTCTGTAACTTTTACCAGAATACTTTTTATAGTATATATAGTTTTGGAAAATTGATATTTTTTCTTGGTAATATTTGGTACACCTGGCATGAAACATCAAGTTTAAAAGAAATGACTCACTTGTAACCCTTAGCTTTAATTGTCTTTGCTGGAGTTTCCAATGGAAGAATGATAGTATTTACATTCAATTCACGAACCTTTCTATCAATCACCTGGAAAAACAAAAGATCTTTCAAATATATAGCCAAACTGAAAATGACAGGGATTGACATTTGGCAAACAGAGAAATGGATGCCAGATTTTAAAAGCCTGTGTAATTATGGCTTATTGTGAAATCATTTAACCGCTCTCTTGTGAAGTGCTTGTGATTGGAAGACAGAGCTATATATTCTTTGGTGGGTTGACAAAGACGGTTTTGAAGTTATAATTCTGAGTCTCACGCCAGGCCTTGTGAGGAGCAAAAGGCAACCTTCAACTGTGCGGAACACCTTCAACTTTCTATATCCTCAATTGAGCATCATCAAATACCATCCTCAATGAAGGTCCTGGAACTTTCTAAGCAGGTGCAAAGATGCTTGATCGAGCTGGAGAACCTCTCCTTGCAAGGCCTGCCCACACTTACAGTTTTCATCTCTTATCAGTATTTGGTATGCATAATTATAATTTTACCTGCAAGCTTAGAACCTTTAACTTGCAGTTTGCTGCAAGTATTTGCATGCTATACTATTCAATTGAATAAATTAGATAATTTATGCTAATTATTTGGGTTTAATTTTGTTCAGGAGTTTCTAGAGAGTGATCAGCCTTCTTCTTGTCTGGAAAATAAGCAAAAACTTAATTTAAGCAAAAATAAGCTTAATTTTTAATATTGTGTGTACATTTACTAGCTTTGGGGTGCTCTAAAGAAGCTATAAGACAAATCTTGCGTGTCAAATTGGAATTTCTGAATGAAAGTACAGTGCACATATTTAGTTGGAATTTCTACTCATCTGAATATATTTAAATCAAAAGTAGTTTCAAAAGTCAATGATGGGCTTCAAAAATAGCTCAGATGCATGATGAATTTGACTATTTACAAAGAAAAATAGACTAAGCAAAAATACCAAACATAACAATAGCCATTCAGGACCAGTTACCATACCTAAATTACCCCCTAATTCAAAGTGCACTCACAAAACCTGTAAAAATTATCCAGACTGTGCCCCAAAATACTGTGATGGTTACAAGCCAAGGACTGTCCCTGGACAGTTTCCCATTTAGTTTGAGTGGATCCACTAGCACAAACTATTGATTGCAAAGAATGGGTTGCAAAGGATTAAAAAAGAAAACATTACTTCCAGACTGGAAACTTTGCAACTGCAGGCCTTAAATCGCCCACATTTAGAAAATTTTGCACAAGTTCTTGCCAAACTGGAAACTTTGCTGCGCATTTGCAGTATATTGCCAGCGAACACATCTGAGCCCTTTTGCACGCAAAATCCTCTACCATTATTAACTCTCATCATTTACCATTATTAACTTTAAAGTAGCTAAGAATGTTTAATTTCAGGCGCCTAGTCTCAAATTTTAAAAAATTAACTGTCAGTGTAAGAAACGAAGTTTCCAAACTGGAGCTCTTGTGGTGTTAATAATGTACAATTTTATTAAATATGCAATAAAATGCAATTGGAAAATTAGAGTGAGCAGGCAATTTATTGCATGCTTGTGGCAAAGATTCCAGTTTGGCATTCCTTTAAAAAAGAGGTTAATATCGCTTGAAAGTGTAGATGACCATTCAGTTCTTAATAATTGACATTATCTAATAATGTCTTTGATAGAAAACCTTGACTGCTAAAACAACACTGAGGCTACTTCTCAGTTTTTGGAATCGAGAAAATATACACTCCCTTCAAGCTGTTTAGCCTTTAGGTTACTAGGTATGGCTGAGCCTCTTCCATCAGGGGGTTCAAGCCTACAGTTCTCCTCTGAGTTGGCACCTATGTGTATCTTATCAACTCCTATGCTTTTGACCATTAAACAGGCTCTTTGCCAAGCCTAATTCTGCACTGACATGCATGGTGGATGACAGTTCTCCTCTGAATGATTTCAAGAGATTGTCTCTATATACAATACATTCATTGATCATACTTCTGTCAAAAAATTGTTGGCAAAACCGTGCTTTGGTAGATCAATAGAGGTGATTCGCTTTTATACCTCTGGCGTTATTGTAATATGATTAGGCCTTCATCTTCACAAGAATTAATTGATAAAGTTCCACATACAATAGCTGACTACAATTTGAAATACAAACTTAACAAACCTTTCCATACTGTGCTCCAGCATCAAGAATAACAACACTTTCAGGACCATTTTCTGCATCTTCCATATCTATATCATTGTTCATTTTGCAGAATTATGTCCCTGGCACGCTACTTTGGACCACAAATGAAGTTCCAATTACACCATCAAAATGTTCACGTGAGTTGATTGAATTGAATTCACTATTCACTTCAATCCTCAACGTGTTTACTTGTCATCATCATCATCATCATCATCATCATCATTATCAATTAAATTTACCAAAGTACAATTAAATACTCAAATAAAAAAGAAAAATTAATTAATAAACAGCAACAACAAGTAACAGTACGAGCATGATTAAGCGACAGCTATTAAATTTTATATAAATTTAGCCAAAACAAACAAGGAAAGAGAAGCAACAACTACAACAAAGAACTTAGTCTGCTTTACAGGAAGGCGACCTGCATTTGTTTTTGGTACCTGAAAATTTCCCTTATAAGTCTTGCAATATTGGCCCAGAGTCTTTGATTGTTGTCTGTCTTTGTCATCAATATTTGATATTTTAGTATAGACGGGTATTTAACAAAATAGCTAGGAATGTAATCATTTCTTATATGCGAGAAAGAAGGGCATTTCAAGAGTGTGTGGAACTCGTCTCCGATTTCATTGGATGAACACATATTACATATTCTTTGATCATAACTTGTAATAAATCCCATATTTCCTCGATCCAACGGCCGGGACACTGATTAATTTCAGCACATTTTTTAGGGAAACCTATTCCAGCGAGGCGCCTTTTCAAGGGGGCGCTATATTTTAAACTTCAAGATATAAGCAGAAAACAAACTAATCTAAAAATGAAAATTGTATAATGTCAAAATAACAATCTCAATTTATCGTAAAAGCTCTATCAAGACCTCTCTCTTATACATAAGCCCCTTCTCTTTTCAGACCCTTTATCAAGCAACAACTTTTAAACAAGCCCTCCCCCTCTATTAATCCCCTTTCTTTAGCCTTTGATGTCAAACAAAGAAAACATATGCATGTAAAAACTCACCTGTGCGACTTAGAAGTCAGTCGAAATTTATCCTGGTGATGAAAAGAACCGTAACTGATCATCAAAATGAAAAAGTTCCGATCTCAGAGAAGAAAACTAACACCTTTTATGGTTTTAATCAAATATTGGAAAAAATAAAAAATTAATCTTGAAAAAAGTGGGTTGGACATGTCCAGCCCAGTCCATCCGGTAAGCCTAAATTCTTCAAGAGAAACCTCTTTCACACGTTTGTTGATTATCAGTCTCAAACTGTACTTTTCAAACTCAAACTGTACTTTAAAGCTGTGAGAAAAACCTGATTGTTTTGTCCTAAAACTGCAAACTTCTTACCAGAGACTAAATGTCAAGCAAAGAATTTTATACTCAAATCCTTCCTTTTTATAACCTTGAAAATTGACTAGTGGCTTTTAAATTGAGGCCTTTGCTTCACCAGGTAGCTATTAAGCACATAAACCCAGGTTTTATTGGCAAACGAATCATTATTTATAAATTAAGAAATCTCTATAAATTAGTTTTTACCTTGTTACGTTAGATGATTAGTAAAATATTTAACAGTTTAACTCGTTCTTTGAATCATAGTTTTTGGCATTACTATAACCACTTTTTGAAACCAAATATCTTCTGTATCCATATTTCACACTCTGGAGCTTTGGCAGTGATAACCAGCGTACATCGACAGTGTAGACTATATTGTTAGTTGCTATCCGACAATTCTGCGAGATATGGAGTGGAGTGCCACAAAGTTTCACATTGGGTGCATTCTTGCTTATGATATAATTGACCGTAGCTGCAAATGTATAGAAATGTATGGGTGTCACCTGGATATTGTGACAAAGGATAATGTTCCTATTTACCAAAAGACCATTAGCATTTTTTCTTGGTGTAATGCAAAACATTTAACAAATACATCATTATGAATTTGACGTGATTTTTATGAGTTTGTACATTCTATTAAAAGCTCTTTCATTTGAGGTCTTTTTCAAATGATTACTTGCTATAGCAATATAAGAAGATAACTTTAGAAACCAATAACAATAAGCGTTTTTGAAGGGATATGTGACATATTTGTTTACTAGAAAACGAATGGAGACAGTATGATCGATCAGAAGACCTTCGTCCTGATTCAGAAAACTGAACAGTGGTTCAAATAAGATGAAGATATAGCTTTAAGAAGAATGAATATGCATCTATCCTATATTTTCATTGTTATACTGTAACGCGTTTGTTGACCTTACAATCCATAATGGCCGCTTCTTGAATATACCGTAGTTTTTGGAGTCATTTATAAAGAAGCTGCAAGGAAAATACAATAACAGAAGCTGTCCCCAAAGACCGCATTATTCAGGAAAGAGAAAATTATTAAGACAGAAAATAACAGGTGAAAGGGTTTAACCTTTCAAACTCTCTAACATTGCACTGGAAAGAATTTAAGCACTTTTAGGCCTGCAAGTTTGCAAATAAAGTAAGAAAAAGGAACACAGTTGGTATTAGACTGCAAATTTTCCAGTAAGTGCAATATTCATATTCTCATTTTTTTCAAGGAAATTGTATCAGTAAAAAATAACTGACCCTTTTAAAAAAAGCCGCATTTTTCTGAAAAATTAAATTCTTAGAGACTGTGGCGTCACTGAAAATAGGGTAAGGGCTTTTTGACTAAAAATGAAGTTTTGCTAATTGATAACTCATTGCAAAACATTATTTATAAGCAATGGTAGCGACTCTCAATCTACACTATTTAAGAGATGAAACAAATCATAAATGCATTTATGTGGCAATCGATGCAAATGCATTCATAATACGTCACAATAGCCAGTACATATGTAGCAAAGAGAACCAGAATTTTTTTCTTTTTATCAAAACCAAAAAGAATTCTGAAACAAAAAGCTGACTTTGTACTCGTTTATTTTTCTACTCAGATACTTACAATAAATTAATAATCAGTGCAGCAAAGAAAATTGGATTTAAAAACTTAATTTTGAAGATATACTGCTTACAAAGTTACAGAAAATTATATTTATAAATTTTGAGATATGTCGTAAAGGAATAAACCAAGTTTGGTAATGATAAGATTTGTTTATGATACCTTTAGAAACACTTAAAAGAAATCAACACGTAGATGGTAAGCAATTAAAACAAAACAATTATTAATGTTTGCATTAAAATATTTATAAACCATTCTATTGATAACCATCCTTTCATCGCATTGACATCATTTTTACGAACTCTAAAATGGAAAACGGCGATATACGTAAGCAGGTTTAGGAAATAACCGAATAAGATGGAAATAACTTTTTGATACTTCCTTAGTATTTCTAACAAACAATGACAAGACGTTTTTGCAAACAAACAATTAATGTAAAAGCATAGTCAGTTTCTAATATGAATTGACTAAACAAATAAAGACTTCATAAATCGGCAAAGCTTTATACTGGATAAATGAGAACGAAGTTGTGTGCAAATATTCTATTATTTTTTCTTCTATTTCCTTTTCAGCGTCCAGAGGAAGAACATCCTTATCTCCTTTTCCAAGAAGCATTGTATAGTAAATCTAAATCAAGTCATTTTTCTGTGGATACCTCTTTGTTTAAAGAATTCTAGTTTTATGTTTCACATTGTTTACTCAAACACTTGAATACGAATTCAAACAGAAAACTCCATTCACGAGAGTTCTTTCTCAATTCCAGGCCCATTTTCCTATTCAGAACATTCAAAGAAAGAATCACTGTGAAAAATAAACATTTTGGAGAAAAATGACCGATGATGGGCAGAGAAGTGACCAAATCTAGCTTGAGACAGCCATCAGATGAAAAGTTACAATAAAATATTTGCTGTTGGGTAGGGTGCCATGGTGTGTCCCTTGAAAAGCCAGCGGTTGCCTAAATTAGAGTCCCTATTTCATCATACAAATCTTTATTCTATTTCCTTTGAAGATAGGTTCAAATTGTCACATACCTTCATAGTTGACTTGTCCATCTCCATCAATATCAGCCTCTCTTATCATCTCATCAACCTCGTCATCAGTTAGCTTCTCCCCAAGATTCGTCATAACGTGTCGCAGTTCCGATGCACTGATGTATCCGTTGCCATCGCGGTCAAACACCCGAAATGCTTCACGAATTTCTTCCTCCGAATCTGTTTCTTTCATTTTCCGTGCCATCATGTTTAAAAATTCAGGGAAGTCAATCTCACCGTTGCCTGAAATGAATATTTTGAAGTTTTTCCAGTGAAAAAGAAAGCCATGCTGCATGCGGCGATATGAGTGATCTTTCAAAAACCAATAGGAAAATTAAAATGTTGCACATGCTACCTTGAATACTAATGATCGGACCCCCTCTGGGATTATAATTTCCCAACCCCATTTTTTCTTACCTACCTTCCATTAACTTTGTAACAACTGGAATAGAAGTGTGCATAATTTTTCGATTGTCCATCCATTAAGTAACTTATCATTAACCTTTTCTTTAAGATATAAAACTTTGTCAAGACCGAAGTGCTGCATGAATTGAAGAAACAGGTTCTAAAGTTTGGATAGCTAATAAACCTATTTTCAGTTCACGTCATAAATAAACCGTGAATGTAGGGTACGAAAACTGAGACATTGCTGTAAAATCATATCCAAAAAGCAGTGTTCAATAATACTTTTCTAACCCTCCTGTTTATTCAGTATACTGAAGTATGGACAGACCGATGAACAGTAAGTTGAAGCGAGCTCAATAACGTGTCAAACTTTTTTGGTCAACTCCTTTGAAACTGACAGTAAAATTTCACTTCTTTGCTTTATCAAGATTGATTTAACATTGATGCATTCTTTTAAAAGTGAATTTTGGTTCTGTTCTACAGCTGACTTCTCTTATAGCATCTTTATATCATTAACTCATCTTAGCGTTGTCCATGATTTGCTATATTACCCACGCTATTAAGCAGAGCCAAGGCAGAGCTCAAGCATAGCCCAGAGATAGCCCAGGGATGGCCCAGGGATAGCCCAGGGATAGCCCAGGGATAGCCCAGGGATAGCCCAGGGATAGCCCAGGCATAGTCCAGGAATAGCCCAGGGATAGCCCAGGGATAGCCCAGGGATAGCCCAGGGATAGCCCAGGGATAGCCCAGGCATAGTCCAGCGATAGCCCAGGGATAGCCCAGGCATAGTCCAGGGATAGCCCAGGGATAGCCCAGGGATAGCCCAGGCATAGTCCAGGGATAGCCCAGGGATAGCCCAGGGATAGCCCAGGCATAGTCCAGGGATAGCCCAGGGATAGCCCAGGGATAGCCCAGGCATAGTCCAGGGATAGCCCAGGGATAGCCCAGGCATAGCCCAGGGATAGCCCAGGGATAGCCCAGGGATAGCCCAGGCAGAGACCAGGTAGAGCCCAGGAAGAGCCTAGGCTAAAAGATAATACTCTTAGTGAGCAAAAGTATTGCACAGGTTTGACAATTTGGTAATGGCGACCGCGTTGTCAACAACAAAGCGATCTAAATTCAAACCACTTTTGTAAAGCCATTAGGCGTCTTTTTATGGTTAAAATCTAATGTAACCAAACTTTAAACCGTTGACAACATTTTCAATTTAAGAATTGAAAATTTTAACTTTTTATTGTACAGTCTCCCAGCTTTGAAACTTTTGTGAGACTTGCTAAAACTTTATCAAAAAGTTTAGTAACAGGTTCAATTTTTGTGTTTTTGCAAATGTCGATATTGTTTAGAAATAGGCAAAAATCAAGCATACTCTTGCTTTTACTATTTTCAACATCAAACCTTGATAAATTTTCCAACATATTCCAGTTAAAAAGTCATTTTACAACTCATATAAAACTTGCTATGGCAACTTGAATTTTGGTTCGCTAAAATATTTTGCTGCAGTGCCGCCATTTCGGATTCAGCCTGTGCAATACCTTTTCTCACTAAATGTATTTTAAAGCGTACCATCGGCATCTACTTCATTGATCATATCTTGCAGTTCAGACTCAGTTGGGTTTTGCCCAAGATTTCGCATTACAGTGCCAAGCTCCTTTGTTGTTATGCATCCATCGCCATCTTTATCAAACAGTGAAAAGGCCTCTTTGAATTCTACAAAACATACAAGGGATGAGACAATGTTTCTTAAAACTGAAAATTTGCAATGCAGTGTAATTTTTGCTTTATATTCTAGCTTTGTTGTACGCTTGCAGAGCCTGACAAGCAGGAGAAAGAAAAAGCTCTCTAAAAGTAATCTTTAGATACAGATAACTCTAAAAGTCGGGTAGGATCAGAATTTTAGACAAAGTTTTCTTACTGAAAACAATGCACGTAATTCAACGGAAGATAATCTGCTATGAAAATTTTATTAAAATGTTTTCTCTATGGTAACAAAAATACACTACGAGCTGAGAGCGAAATTTTTTCATGGAAAACGACGGTTATTATTGAGGCTTGTACCTAGTTTGGTGCTAGCGAAATATTGGGTTACTGAGGTTGCTCATTTGAAATGGCGTATAAACAGTCTATGAAACATCTGTACGAAATGTTAAGGAAAACCCGGTAAATTCTAAGAAAACATATGGTGGATATTACCTGCAATCTGATCATCTGTAAGCTGAGGAACACTCTAAAAATAAAGTCAAACAAAGGTCAGAAACTAAGGTTGTCAAATAACAGTCCAAAATAGATTTTCAAGAATTTTTTGGTAGAAAACATGTCAGCAGAGTCATCTGCTAACAATATCAATTGCAATTCGATCTGCAATTCGATTGCTAAACTCTTTGTAGAGCTGTGGGCGTTTTTCCATTGAAAAGAAATTTGACTTCTTCCGACTACACTCTGTTGCGAAAACAGGCCCTCGCAGAGGTTATGGTTTATGGGCAAAGTACGGTCTAGACATGTGTGGGTTGACCGAAGACTCAAATGTCAACACTATCTCGGGATAATAATAATGGCGTACGTATGTGTGGAACTGTATACTTCCCTCCGGAAAAATATGTTTTTAAAGTTTGCTTGATAATTCATTGAAAAAATTAAAGAATACAAAAATGAAAAATGTAAGAATGAATTATCCTTTTCAAGAAATCTTCATTTAGTTGTTCTTCAAACTTATCATACCTAAACACTTGTAGTGATTTTAATATTGTAAATTAGGCCATTTTCCTACATCATGCCATCACCATGACATCCAACCACGTCATTCACAGCATCACCTAGCACATGACATTCTCTTCACCATTGTACACACGTTCACACATCTATGTCATGCTGATTTCTTCCCAAGTCTAGATCTTTCCTTCTCCACTGCAACATCATTACATCATCATAACACATCATTACTCAGCACATTTATTTTGTATATAAGTATGTTAATTTGTATGTAAGTCAGTCAAATTCAGTCAAGTTCAGATCAGAGTTATATATCAACACAATGTCTCTCTCACTGGCTCCGTGTTCTCTGCACGTTAAATAAGAATCGAAGCGAACACCAACGATGGAAAGTCACAGGATATGATAGGAACCATTGCAATTCTTGTCACATAAAAGCGTTCCTATAATGGCGACCACGACGTGACACGCAAATCCATCGTTGGTCAATTCTACTTCAACTACAACATCAACTCTTCGATGGCATCAGACACATCAAGTTTTTCATCAACAAGGATTCGTCAACATCAACTCAGCTTCACACACACAACCCAGCTCATTTGGATTTATCGACAACCATCAGCACTCGACTCACCGTAGTGCTCTTCAACACAAGCAACAAGCACTCGACTCTCCGTAGTGCCCTCAAACGCATCGCAGCACTCGACTCACCGTAGTGCCTCCACGCAACAACATCGCTTAATACCTCCTCAACAAACTGGTTCCTGGTCATCCGACGTAAAAACCTCGCACAACTCTCATCGCTTTCCGAACCCTCAAGAAACGACGGCTACGTCTCGAACTCTCATTGATTTATAACGGTTGGACATTTAGATTTCGAAAAATTAATTTTTTTATCGCAATTCACTCATATTTTAATTCATCGATTTTACAACATTTAAATTTATTCCTAGTTATTTTTCCTTACGTATCGAATGCTTCACAACCGCTTGCATTCTAAGGGGGGAGCTATTGTAGTGATTTTAATATTGTAAATTAGGCCATTTTCCTACATCATGCCATCACCATGACATCCAACCACGTCATTCACAGCATCACCTAGCACATGACATTCTCTTCACCATTGTACACACGTTCACACATCTATGTCATGCTGATTTCTTCCCAAGTCTAGATCTTTCCTTCTCCACTGCAACATCATTACATCATCATAACACATCATTACTCAGCACATTTATTTTGTATATAAGTATGTTAATTTGTATGTAAGTCAGTCAAATTCAGTCAAGTTCAGATCAGAGTTATATATCAACACAATGTCTCTCTCACTGGCTCCGTGTTCTCTGCACGTTAAATAAGAATCGAAGCGAACACCAACGATGGAAAGTCACAGGATATGATAGGAACCATTGCAATTCTTGTCACATAAAAGCGTTCCTATACACTTCCTTGTTCCAGAAATCATTGAAAAATTTAAAAGAACTGATCTTAGTTGGCTTCAAATCCTAACTGGGTTTCCTCTGGTGCTGAAGTGAGGATCTGAAGTGGCTTTTGTACAGATATTTATTTTGGACATCAGGTTTTCGCTCTCAATTAATAGTACCCTGTGATAACCATACCTTCTAAGCCTTGTACACAAGGCCTAAAGGCTTACATGAAGTTAACGATTTAAATTAGTAGCACATAGCGGAACAACCACTAAATTTACTTCTAGATATATTAACCTACCACCTAGGTGGTTTGTTTGAGTGGAGCATCTGGAAAACCTGGCAAACATATATTATATTTGTGCGAATAAAGGAGCGGCCACGATAGCAGGCTGCTCGACGGACTTCGGAGAAATCTTGCTACGAAAAATTGATAAAACAGCAGTATATAGGGAACACCACAACGCGACGAGAATAAACACCAACAAACACACAAATCAGTGAATCACACTCAAATCAAACACACAAACAACACACAAACCGGCTTACATTTCGACCCGGCATACAGGGCTTCATCGAGCAAAATGTTATATTTGCTTGGAAATTCCAGAACTGATCAATATTGTTATTTGATAAATATATCTATTGGTATTGATATTAAGAATAATCAAACATCGCCTGGCAAATTGAATTTTTATTTTTATATCGCTGGCTTTTGAAACTCAGGATTCACTTTGGGAATGCTTTGTGTATACGTATGTGATTTTCATGACGTATAGCATTCTTATAAGTTCATAGCTTTGTATTAGTTATTTCTTGCTGTCAAAGATTTATAGTTTGCTTGTAAATATGGTTATGTTGGTGATGGGCCAGGTCGGCCTACAAGCCTTTATAAAAAAAAGATCAACTTTTTAAACTAAAGCTTGTTGATGAAAACTTTTTTGCAGCAGTTGATATTTTTGTTAATATAATATTCATTTAAAAACTTCTTTTTTGCCATGTGACTAGCCAGCTCAATAGAGATTTAATGTTATTGAAGTCGGTGAGTGCTTGATAAATGGTGCTGCTTTCGGGTAGAACACAAACGGGTCTTTTGTCTCATTTAGTAAAAGAAAATTAACAATATTTTCTACTTTCTTTTGACAGGAGTTGATAAGAATGATAACGAAGTCGAGAAAAGTACTAGATCATTAAAATACTGTGGGTGAACAAGAATGCAGTCCTGCAATAGAATAGAAATTGGGCTAAGACAGGATTAGATTTCTTCTATTTTCGATATTCTTTAATTTGTGAAGTTTGACCGCAATGCATACAAAATTACGATTATTTTGAATTGAAAGGCAGCTTGATGAAAGTATAAACAAGGGTTCTTGCATTAAATGATCCTAAAGTCTAGTTTAATACAGAGCGCTATGGATTTGATTTTGTTTTGCTAGACAAGATAAGGTATTATTAATCGTCTCTCTTCTGTTCAATATGTCAACAGAACCGAATGTGAAGTCGATAAAACAGAATGTGATTAAACTTTTCATAAAATTTTCATCTAATTATGACAAAACGGAGAGAAAATGGATTCCATGTTCCTGTTTACTTTAACTGATGTCATTCGTATGGTTTCACTGTAATTAAGTTGTTTTAAATTGAAATTCATAAGACTTGATAGATTAAACTTTTTATTCGATTTCTTTGACAGACGATTTCTAAACCCAGTCTCCAAGAAAATCCTACAGTAGTGCTTCACTTGACCGCACCATCAACCTCAAAATGTTATGCTTTAATTATCAGCTCCAAATTTCACTTTCACATACAGAAAGGGGCTGAGAGGTATTTTAAGCATTACACTGTACAGTGTTACGCTAAAAAGAGCCAGACGAAAGGCTGCTCTGTTAAATTTTGTGCCATTTGTCCGTGAGATTACCAATGAGAAATCTCTATACCAAGTACCTATTTCGTAGCTGTTTGTCAAGACGATAGGCTTACTAGCATTCAATCACCTTGGCCCTTATACATAATCTTGTTACGGTTTTGCGTAGTATTAATGCCTGGTGAATTTTGTTTAAGTCAAACCATGGCATGGCAGCTGTAGTAAACATAAGAATTCATATATGCATAACATGGTGATCATATAAAGGTGCCAAGATTTCATTAGAAAAGATCTTGATCTTGCACTTGAAAAACAAGGTAATCTTTTTGAAAAATATTCATACCAATACAGGGTGTTACGCAATACAAAATGCAATCTTGCTATACCGAAAATGAGAACAACTTGAGTGACAAAAAATGAGTGACAAAAAATCATTTGCGCATCGGGGAGCCGGGGCATGGAAGAGACTCGACACGGAAATGAAATTGGTCCTGACAATTTGAACTGAGAATATTCAAGGAAATCTGATCTCCATCTTTATTTTATTTTTTTGAATCACTTTTTGGTAGCTTCTTTACTTTATCAAATTACTGTAAATAGACTAAAATGCGTGCGGTATAATATGATGAATTTAGATAACGATCAATGTAAGTAAATTGTACCAGGAGAAATTTTTTTAGAATAATTAATAAAAATAGGTAGAAAATTAATAAAAATTTTTACTGTAAATAGGTTTTTATTCTTAACCCTTTCTATCTTTAATTATAAACAGGATTTATCTTTAATAGTTACGCTTGTTATTTTTTTTGCTGGGATAATTTGAAAGCAGTTCAATTAGTTAACTGAATTGAGCCCAAGGGTAAACAAGGGTTTAATTAAAAAAATAAAAGAAAATAAATTGATGAAAATGAATGGAGAAATGGGACAAAATAAGAGATGCTATATGTGGAAATATTCAGTGCTAATTTATCGTTACCTTAACATTAATTGCTTCAGTCTGTAAGGTGGGGTTCTGCGCGAAATCACCCCCTCTTCTACGTGCATGATAGACACTCATGATCTACGAAACACCTGTTATTGTAAGCTAGCTAAGGAAAGTTTGAAAAACTCAGATTAAATAGATCCTTGCGAGAAACAGATGGATGCTTTATCAGATATAAAATGTACCAAGCTGTGGAAAGTTTCCATTAGAAGAGCACGGATGAAATTATTTTCAATTAATGCAATATATATATCCAATTAAATTCAATTAATAAATCAAATCTTCAATGAATTAATTGACATGTAAATTAATTTTCATTGTGAAGTTTAGAGGAAGTAATAATTATGATGATATATTAAAGATTTTCAAAGTAATAAAAGAGAGTTTAAAGTCACATTTAAAAAGGATTTTTTGATTATGCTGCTGATGAAAATCTGTATTTTGAAAGGTGGTATAAAATCAATGTTTAAGCCGCTATAATCTAAGAATATAATTGATTTTAAAAAATTTGATACATCGGGCTAATCTTATCATATTTTCACTATGTCATTTGTGATTACAATTTTTTCCGAGATAATTTTATTCTTTTTCAATGCCTGTTTTTCATCTTCACTTTCAATTTATCTTTTTTCTAAAATTTACAAAAATACTTTCGTATTTCATTGGTTCTAGCTGCTAAACAGTATTGAACCAAACATTTTTACATGTTTTAATCACAAGCTGGTCACATGAACGTGATAGCTTTTTCTATAAATGTACTTCAATGAAATAAACTTTTCTGTGAGCTAGTTTTTACTTTACTTTTATAGTTAATAATTTACAAATAAAAGTAGGGCGTTTTTTAATATATAATGAATTTCGAATGAGCATTTTGAGTTTTAGCACCAAATCATCAATGCATTTTTCTGATACTTTGATACATAGAGGAGTAAAAAGACGTAAAATATATATCGCCTTACCTGGCTGAAAATTGTTTATAAGCTGTAAATGTGAAAGATCTAGTCCAAAGATAAAACCACAGTAATAAATATTGAATATCATATTAAGTAGAATTTCAACGATTGGTGAGTTCAAGCGCCAGTGCTTTATTCGACAGTGAAATCGTCCACGTCGTAATACAAAGTACGACAAATATGTCGACGAAAGAGTTTCTAGACTTGAATGAAGTTTTATATTGATTCTAAAGCAGTAGCTTTTAGCTTTTATCGTCAATGAATTTTGCTGTATCAATCATTAATTTTCTGCAGAAGACCACACTTCTTGAACAGGTGATGATTAAAGTTTGTTACACTTCACAATAGCAAAACTCTTTCTATAAAATTTTAATGAAAATAGATTTGCTTTTAGGACGAAATTCTAAGGTGATTAACCACTTTTTTTATCTGCTTGATTACAAATGCTGTTGTTATCACAAGCTGCAAGTGCTGTTGTTATCACAAACTATGTTCTTTATCTGCACAGAGTAATGATGTCATCCACGTAGAAAATTTTGATTGTCTGAGTGGTAGGTGAAAGCTGTTCAAAATAGGCAATATCTAATTACTTGATGCAATAACCCGAAGAAAGTTAACGTTTGCATGCAGTTACAGCAAGATTTGTCGCCGCAGAACATTTCACAGAGTAATGTTGCAATTCATTGTGTATTATTGGATCCTTAGTTTTGAACTTCAATAGATGTATGGTTGATTTATTGACATAAGCCATAAAACAGTCAAGAATCTATAACAACATAAGGGCTCTTTTGCCTAAAATGCATAACGACAGTTTTAATGAATTGTGGGTCATGGCAAAAAACGCTAACGCGTAGCTATCTAGACGAATTATTTTCTGAAAAAGGGCTGCCTGCCAGTAAAGCATGATATGCAGGCGTTGCGTTGACATTTTTAAATGAATATCATGTTGAGATGAGCCTCAAATGTTTCTTGTCCAAAAGCTATTCACCTTGTGAAGAAGTGCTTGTTAATATATTACCAAATTTACAGAAATAAATCAAAAGTTCAACTGGCATCACAGGTAAAAGCAAATGCCGTACATCTTTAAGTTACCATTAGCAAGCAAAACTCACCATTTTTATAACTGTTTATTTCCAGATGAAAATTTCCAGTTCTCTCTGCTTAACCTCTGAAGGAATCAATCAATTTGCGCAAATGCCTTGCTGCAATCCTTGTAGAAAACCGCGTGCTAACAGCTGACAATAACAAAACTAGACGTGTGGCTTTGTCAAATGAACCTCATTGGCTGTCTTTCTCCTTTGTTTGTTTTCACCGACGCTTCATCGTTTTTGCTAGAATCAAAGCTTCACTTACAAGAAAACCCAGTTTTTCTTGATTTTGAAGAGAAATTATTTGTTTAGAATACTTAAAAAACTTACCTCCAACACCAAACAAACAATTTTGCAAGAGTTTTACTGCTTGCTTTCTTTGGAATCTTTCCAAGAATGAAAATTTGACTACAGAAGCACTTGGTAAATAGAAGCATTTGATTTGATTTATTTGGTACCTTTGCTCTTCAAAATAACATGGAAGCAAACTATGGCACATTATTGTTAACTGTAATGGTCTATGCAGATACCATTGATTTGTATGAATTTTATGACAAAAAGCGACAATGTTAACAGAACAGTAATATCTCTCTCTTAGATAATAGAGGCAACAGAAATTCATAGCTCTACGCGACAAACGAATAAAGTTCGACGCAACAATTCAATCGAGCCAAAATACAACGACCTTTAGTAGAACGCAGGAGTCTAACTCAATTCTTACTAAGGAGGCTGCCGAAGGGCAGCGAAAATTATAAGAAAAATTTTTGATCGTGTATGTGTCTTTTTTTAATTATGGTTTGTAAATGTACCGAGTTACCTAAGTATGATTTGTCATACAATACACGGGATCTCTTAAAATCCTTGGCCCAAAAAGCCAGTGACCGAAAACACAACAGAAATTAAATCTTTTTTTTAATGGCGATGTCAAATTGTTTGCATCCATAGAAAATGCAAAGAACTTCAGAAAACAATACTAGAAAAACTAAATTTGAGTTTGAAATGAAAAAAGGCAGGAACCGTTCAGATTCCAGCTGCCACCGGTCAAAGTTAAAACAATGTGTAACCACCTGATACTTCGTTCCTTAAGGTCAGTAATCACAGGTTCCTAACAAAACAATAGGTTTTTTACTGAGTAATCAGTTTTAGGTGGCAAGTTCTTGCAGCAAGAAAAACATGCATGATTTGTGAAAATGCAAATGAAATTTTGCGTTATTTGTTCGTTGATCAGTGAAGACTCAGTTAGCTCATCGTGAGATGCGGCGTCCTTCTAGCTTGCATCTGCATGGCATGCGAAATTACGTTAAATAGATTGTTCCAAGCACTCTTTATTTCATACTTTGTTACTGCCTTTGAATATTTAATGAAGAAAGAACTAAAAGAGAGTTGTCAACATTTTCCTTTGAAGTTCTGAAGTTATAGATTGGAGGCAAGGAATTCTTTAAATGGTCTAGATAAAATGAGTTTTTATCCATTTTGGTCCAAGTATTTTGCCTGTTTGGACAACGTTTTTGCTGGCACAAAATAGAGACAGATACCTTAAAGGCATTTAACTGTAGATATTCAAAATAGGTTCTACACATTATTGATCAGAACAACAAGAATATGGACAATTTTGCCATTCATACACTGACTGAATAGAAATGCAGCAGCTTGTGTACTCGAATTTTAACTATTGTCCTTTAATTTGGTATTTTTCATCTTCAAAATCACTTCAGAAAATTGAAAGGATACAAGAACGCGCGCTAAAATTTTTGTACAATAATTATAAAAGTTCCTATGATGATCTTCTTATTAGGTCAAAAAAGTGTAGAGTGCAAGTTGCTCGTCAGAGAACCCTCTGTATCGAAATATTCAAGACAATTAGAAATTTGAATCCACCATTTATGCATAGCATTTTTAGTTCAAGAACATTAAAACATCCTTCTCGGAAACCTTAAAAACTTAAATAACTTTCGACCAAACCAAGTAACTTTCGTTTCCAAGAGCCTTAAAGCCATAGGACCTCAGATCTGGAACTGTCTGCCAAATGAACTAAAATCAGCTGACAATCTTAACAGCTTCAAACGTATGATAACACGATGGGATGGTCCTAGCTGTAAATGCAACGTTTACAAATTTAATGATATCGATTTCCTGTAAATTTTGTCCATTCATATCCAAGTTGCTTCAAATATTTAGCTTATGTATGTACGTATTTATTTCCTTAGTTATTTCCTCTTCATTTGTTATACAGTAGATTCGATTTAGATTAGTTGCATGTGTATATTTCCATATATATATGCATGGCTAGAAGCAATATCGAATTAAAATGTGGTTACAAATTAACAAACAAACAAACTTGCTAGATTCCATCAGCTATAGCAATTTTATCACAAATTTGCACTCTAATGAAAGGCATTGATAAGCTAAGGAGGATCGATATTTTTGCTACTATGAGTTGTTTGCATATATTACTATTAGTATAGCTATTTTTTAAATACTGTTGAGCTATCACCACAAAGGCTTCGGGAATCCAAGGGCTTCCCTTGAGAAAATTTTAACAACTTTTATCACAAATCTGTTGAAAAATTCTGGCAACTAAACAAGCTCTTTCAACCATTCGACTTAATGCAAAACAGAGCCACTACTTGACTTAACTGGTTGGCTCAGTATCTTGTGATTTCATCAGATAACAAAGATTTACAGACTTTTCTACAAAATTCGGGATGTCAAATCTCGGGCTGTTAACTGTCCGGTTCGCCGCTGTCAAGCATCGGCACTATGCAACTGGGAACATGGGTTTAATTGCATTACCGCAAGTCATTGAACAAAACAGGACCAAGCTTTAATAAAGTTCGGTTGCCTTGGACTGCAAGATTAGCTTTGTAGCTGCCAAAAAACAAGCCTAATTTTTAGGCCATGGTGAAGCTAGCTACTCTTAGATTTATGCTTGTGTATGGATGATCCTGTATGCATCATGTTTAGCGCAAGGTGTTTGGAATTATCATTGAAGGTCAAAACTACAAACCACCCATAAAGACAAGCTTAGAAAACCAGCACTTTGGATTTTGGTAATCTCTTTTAAGCACGAGAATTAACCATCTAGGTTTTGAGTAACGCTTTTCTAGGCTACGTGAGAGTTCCGTAATCAAGGAAAACGTTTGATTACTCTCTGCAGGGTCTTTTCAATTTGAGTAAATTTATGTTGTATTCCTCTGGCGCTCGCTATGATTTGTGGCTATGCTTGCAGAAATTAATCAACTTCAGATCATGTGCGAGTCGTCTCCCAGTTAATTTCATAATTTCACCTACATTGTCATCTGCAAATTCCAGTTCAGCCTCGCTTTCGGATTTACACATCTGCTGGTAATAAAAAAGACCAGTGATCAGCGGTAGGCTTATGCTTTCGTGATCTTAGACCCCGTTTACACGAGAGTGCATCCGCTTGCGTTTACTTGGGAACTGGCCGATCCGTATACTTTTGGATCCGCTATCCGAACACTTTTGGGATCGCTTTCAGAGGTGATCCAGTATGGCTCCGATCTGGACCGGATCCCGTGTAAACGGGTGGATCTGGTCCAGATCGGATCCGTCTACGTTATTCGTCGAAATTGAGAATATTTTTCAGTTCGAGATGGTTTAAATATGTAATCCCTTGCTTTTTGGCGCCAGAAAACCGAACATCAAGTTGATGGACTACTGTTTTGAAGAATTATTGCGAAACTTTACGACATGTCGTCGTATTTTGTCCTCATATTTTCCCAATCCTGTCCACCTGCAAGCTTTGCAGTTTGTAGTCCATTACCACTTTCAAAATTAGCGCAGTTTCTCCTTTAGTCCACGAAAATTTACCCTCTTTAGTGTTACCCCCCTCCATGTTCAGGGTGAACTGTGTTTTGATCACGCTCGTCATATGCGCGCCAACTTTAGAAAAGCATATGCGCGTAACCTGTTGAATTCATCTGGATCCGTTCCCGTGTAAACACAACTGGTTTTGGATCGGATCCTGTGTAAACGTATTGCCTTTTCAAGGGTCGGGTCCAAAAGTGTCCGGATACTTGTGGATCTGATCTGGTCCAGGTTTCGTGTAAACGGGGTCTTGAAAATGTACTTGCTGCTCAGTGCTTGGAGGGAATCTAACTAAACAAGTGGGTTATAATTCATAAAATTTTGCGCAACTAGGGAGTTCGAAATATATAGAACGCTGCAACTAAGGAGATAATGTTTGGAGCATCTAATCAAAAACAATAAACGGGACAATGAAAAAGTACTTTTTATTCGGGAGTTTTTATAATCAATTAAACAAAAAAAACTGTTTAAACACAAACGGTTAATCACACAAGTGTACAAACGTCGGACAATCGCCACTCCAATCTTTTTGTTCGCGAGTACTGCAACCCTCTGTGCGCATGCGTAGTTTGAAAATGTTCTGTTCGCCGAGAACAAACTTCCCTCAGCTTGGTAGAGGGATTGGATCTATTCCTATCCGTTAAGTGACTTTTCCCAAACAGCTGTGAAGGGCTTATAAGATCAGGGTACTCAGAACGCGCGCGTAGGAAATCACAATGAGTCCGTTTTCAAGGGAAAACAAGAAGACGGATGTTACTAAAATCCAATTGAATAACTTAATTTCTTTAGGCTCGCGGCACTGATTGGTCAACTATACCGGTCTTGTGCTTGCGTTTTTCTGATTGGCCTATTTCGATCCACAACTGGGTATATATTTTTCCATCGTGTTTTTTCGGAACCTATTCTGACGTTTTATGCTCTGAGGAGTGTCAGACGAAAAAGCTTTAAGTATGTTGTAAAATGTTTGCTTTTTTCAAAGCCATTTTCGAATAACTTAATGCTTAATATTGATGCAAATTGAATCTATAAGGGAGTTTGAATATTCAGTAACCCTTGCCGCCTTTTCGATTAAGTCCTCCAAGTCTTAGAATAATAGAAACAATTGGGAAAGTCACTGCGTTATTAAAGGAAAAGTCATTTTAAGTCCCTCATTGTTACAATGTATACGAGTAAATAAATTGTTTAAAACATAAGTAAATTGATGGGGACCCGGCTTTGTTTTTTTATTTAAAAAGTTTAACTACTGATACGCTTGCACTTTGTCTTTCGACTTTGTTGAATTTCTTCTCAATCATTCTTTTTCTGAGTCAAATAAAGACGGTTAAAAATTGGAAAAGCAAACAATTCTTGAACGATTCATTTAAATATCC